GGGGGGACGAAAGATCCATCGCCTTCCCTCTCCTCCCTTCCCCTGGATCCGCATATGTAGCTGCACCTGGCGTATCGGGGCATCCAAATAACATCAGTGATCACTAACATGAGTAACCCCATTAATAATATCCCAAAAAAAGCACTGATCACTAAACGGGCCGATTTTGGAGTTCTCATTTTTAGAAAAAACCGATTGTGTTTGCAGGCAAAAACTTTAAAAAATTTTTCAGTGTGAACAGTGAACAAATGTGCAAATTTCAGCTGCATCAGCTTTTAATTCTACTACGGGTCCACTGTCAGTGCATTTATCTCTGCGACACTACAGTATGGTGCTACAAACAATAGCATTGGCACGGCTAGCAATTCGATCATTGGAAATTGTCCTGGATAGTGTTTCTGGCCTTTCCTCTGTAAACCAAAGAAACAAAAAGATAAGCACTGCAAAGGTTAATGTTTTAATTTGAAAGTTTAATTTTTTTCTTTCTCTGACTTTTGTCCAATTTCAGTGGATATTTGAAATCATAAAATCATGAATCTTTCGTAAGAAAAATTATGGTTTCTTATTTGTGCAGTTTCATTGGCCATTTTCTTATTTTTAAGCCACAGTTAAAGCAGCACATCCATTAAACTTGGTTAGGATGGGCCTACTGACGATGCTGATTTAGGCCATAGAAGATCGTAACAGGAGGGGGGAAGACTAAGATATTGGCTGGGAAGAATCTAAGACCTGGAGATAGGAACGGGAAATAATAACCGGAATTGTGAGGAGGAAAGGGAGGGGAGTGAAAGTTGTCAAGTTTATGATGCTAAGCAAGAAACTAGATGCTATGAGAAAGAAGCTTTTGCTTACAAAAATTTAATTTCTCGCATCTTTTGTTTCATCTCGTAATTAGTGTGCAACTATTTTTTTCACAGCTCGTATCTAAATCCACAAGCGAGTGCATTTTGCGCGACCGAACCGAACTCAGCTGAGCTTGAGTAATTGCCGAGGGAATTTATAAATCCTTATAAGTATTTTTTTTTTGTACTGTCTGGCTTATATATATATATGTATATATATATATATACACATATATATATACATATATATACATATATGTATATATATATATGTATATATATATGTATACATATATATGTATATATATATGTATATACATATATATATATATATATGTTACCAGGTTTTTATTATTTCCTTTGATGCATTTTTTAGCAATAAATTTTCAGAATTTACGAAAAAATGTTGTATCGAACAGGTTGTGTGAAATACGTGCTAGCCTCAAAAAGGGCATTTCGCTGATCAACGTTCAATTATCAGACATTTATAAACTGCTCACCAATGATGATCTCATTCCGAATTTTAGTAGTGATTTTGATGAGGTAATCAATCAGTTCATAATTTTTTTGCAAGGATTTCCCAGAAATTCGGAACTGTGTGTAATTGGCATGAACATTTTACGCAAAAATAGTTCCTTGATTGTTTTTAAAATATCCGCTTTTTCCTACTAATTTTGGGATTTTAAAAGTGATGCTAGCTGTGTTGATGGTGAGAAGGGGTACTGCAGTGGGTTAAGGACTATTTAACTAATACTTTGATGCTCAGCACCGCATGACTGAAGAGTATATGAAATTCGAGAAGTTCCTATTACTGCTGCCATATCATCTGGTAGCTGCCTGCTGCTTTTTTTGGTCAAAAAAGTTAAAACCTCCTCTCTGTTCACTGTTTTCCTCTTGCACTTGAAAAAAAAAACATTGCTTGTATTGCCAAGTCACTGAGAACTCCAGTCTTTTTTTTTTTTTTAAGAAGAAGAGCGGCTAGAAAGGAAAGGACAAGAGAAAATGAGAGAAAAAGCGAGTGATCGGAATACAATAATGTTGGTGGAAAAGAAGACCAACCCGGGCTTTACAGTGTATGGCTTAAAAAAAAAATTTTTTTTTCAGGAGACTTGTAAAATCTTGCAAGAAGAGAAAGCTGAC